GTTAACATAAAACCAATTATTACATGTTTTAAAAATTTAAGTCCAACTAAAGTTCATATTTTATACTTACCACATCATCTATTTTATTTTCCAAATATATTAACAAGTTTTTAATTCCTATATTTATATCAATATTATATATTGTGTATATAAGTATTTAGATTAGTATAGTATTCAAATATTTTAGTATAACATAGTTTGTTATTTATATTTAATCAAACTTACAAAAACATATATTTTTTCGTTTGTTATGTCCGACAAATTCATATAAATCTAAAATTTATCAGCTTTCTCATTCCCTATAATTTACACGAATAATAAAAATCAATTCTACACTTAAAAGATATTGAACTAAATAAATTTTGCATATGTTTTGATCAATTTACACCTAGAAAATATTAAAACTAATGACATTAATATATGATTGATAAAATATTCAACTTTATTACATTTACTCACAATACTTATCATTTTGTATGTTTAGAGATACTAAAACTCATTTGCTTTGTCATACAAATATTTAAATTAAAAAAATTGTATATGTGAAAATCGATTAACCAACCTATATGAAAATTTAGCAAGGAAATAAATGAATAGTGTAGAATTTTTTTTTGTTTGTTTTGTCGACCAAAGCTTTCATTAAATGAGAAACCCAACTAGGGTAATGCAATACAACAAATGTTTGAGGAAACCATTCTTTTAAGGTTACACACACGTGTAAACGTGTGATGAAGAGAAATTTGACATGACGGTGTCGGCTGGTCCACGAACCTACCACAACTCCTCCGCCGGCTTCTTCAAACACTGCTGTAGAGACCTTCCACGGATCGCTCCGGTGTTTATCTACCCAGTTCAGTGTAGAAAAAAAAATCTTTAAACACCCATTTTCCCATTCTTACTCGCCCAAAAATTAATATGGAAATGTTTACTTGCACATGGTATTTTCCTCTTTCTGATTTAGCAAACAAAAGAAAAAACATCAAATTCCAAAGGTTTAACGAAATAAACCAAAACAATGCCTTAAATTTTAAATTTGTACATTGGAAATAGTATTTGCTTATCAAACATAGAAAATATCCATATGCATTAAAATAGGCATGAGCTTATACTAAAGTAACAAAAAAAAAATTACTATCATAAATTTTGAAAACGGAGAAACTGTACCAACAAACATTCGCATTAAACCAGACCAAAGAAGCAAGAAAACCCTAGAATACCAGAAATTCTGACGACGGATCCAACATAAGCTTACACAATAGCAACACTGGTAGAAAGGACATAGATTGCAATAGAACAGAACAAAAACCTACACCACACGAATCTCGATAGACACTAGGGAACGAACTAGGCCCATAAAAAAATTCTTAGACCCATGACTAGAAAATAACCAAACAAGACCAATAATTTTAATACGCGGACTCTCTCAGACGAACCACATCCATCTATAAAGTAAAGATTGACCACCTCTTCGCAAGAAAAAAAACTGACGATTGAATCCACTACTTCTTGAAACCTCAACAAATAATAAAAATGTTAAAACACATAAATTATGTTTTCAGAAAAATGAAATATTGATAATCCACGCATGTGCAGACAAACATCTAGTAGCATATAAAGTCATCTAATTATACATACCATTAGAGCTATATATTTTGGGTAACCATAACATATATTTTTTCTTTTTTTTTTGGTTCAACAACCATAATATATATTAATTTCTAAAAAAACAGAGAAAAACATTAAAAGAGTCGAGTAATAATAATAGAAGATTAGGAACACTTGAATCGAAAGGAAATCCACAAAGACACATAGACAAATCACTCAAAACAAAACAAATCAAAACAAAATTTGTATATCAAAAGCAAATCCCAATTTCCCAACAATACTTAACGGGAATGAAATTGTACAAAGCTTGAAAATCAAACGGCTGGAGAATTAGGAGAACGAGGTAGAGGAGATCCAGGCTTCACTCTCGAAAACTGAATGGACTCGTCGTCATTATAAGCAAAACCTCCATGACGTGCTATATCCATTCCCTTCATCTCATCTTGCTTCGAGATCCTTAGCAGTTTAAGCTTCTTGAGGATGAAGAAGAGTGTTCCCATTGTGGCACTAACCCATCCTATAATCACCACTATTTGAACCAATTGTGCTCCCAATAGCTTCCCGCCTCCACCCATGAATAGCCCATAGTGCCTTCCCGGGCTGGCGCCGTAAACCTCGTTTACGTACTTCTCCTTTGCAAACAGTCCTACGAATATCAGTCCCCATGCGCCGCACCCTCCGTGCAGTTGTGCGGCTTCGAGTGGATCATCGTATTTAAGAAGTTCTGCGAGTTTGTTGCATCCGATAAGGACGAGGGAAGCCACAAAGCCGCATACGATTGCTGCCCATGGGTCTACCACAGAGCAGCCTGCGGTTATGGCTGCAAACCCACCAAGTAACCCGTTGCAAACATCAGTTACGTTCCAATGGCCTGATAGGAGGCGTTTTCCGAAAAGTGTAGTTAGAGCCGCGGTGCATCCCGAGAGCGTTGTTGTAACTGCTGTCCGGCCGATTCCGCTCCATTGGCCGTAGTTGGAACCAGAGTTGTACGGAATGAGGATCTTGGTGAAGGAGCCAGGATTGAAACCATACCAACCGAACCAGAGGAGGAAGGTCCCGAGGACGACAAGCGAAGCAGAGTGGCCACGCAGAGCAATTGCACCGCCTCCTTCCTCGAACCGACCAATTCGAGGACCTTCTATAAGAGCACCCCATAATCCGGCAATACCACCAACCATATGAACAACACCAGAGCCAGCAAAATCAATGGCTCCGGTGCCAAACAAACGGTCTACTGAACGGAAGGGACTAGCCCATCCGTCCGGGGACCAGAACCAGTGAGAGACAACTGGATAAACAAACCCGGTTAGGAATGATGAGTATATCAAGTACGCCACAAACTTAGTCCTCTCCGCAATCGAACCGCTGGTGATTCCAGCGGCTGCAATTGCGAATGCCCATTGATAGAGGAAGAAGGAGTAATCTGAGGTAGGAGTCGGAAAGTCTCTAAGACCAAAGTTGTGTCTTCCAATGAACCCATTGGAGGATTCGCCAAAAGCAAAAGCGTAACCAAAGAGATAGTAGAAGAGTCCCCCGGCTGCAGCATCAAGGACATTGGTAAGCATGATGTTCATCGTATTCTTTGCTCTAACCGAGCCAGCACAGAGCATAGCAAAGCCGAGCTGCATCGCGAAGACGAGATAGGCGGAGAAGAGGAGGTAGGTGTTGTCTATAGCGTAGGCTACATCGGTGAACTTGTTGTTCACGGTACCTACTTGGCTGCAGATGTAGTCGGCTGCCGCCGTGGCGTTGGGGCCGAGAAGGGCGGAGAGATCACTCGCAGAGCAAGTTATAGCTCCAGACATGTTGAGAGACCTCAGAGAGAAAACGAGACACGAAGAAGAAAGATTTCATCTTGTGTGTCTTATTAAAAGGAGGAAGAGGAGGTTAAGGGTTGACTTTCGATTCAATTCTGACCAATTAAGATTCTTAGTTAAATTAATTTAAAAGGTTATGTGACATCACAACATTATTGAACTACAGATGGAATCTGCCAAATCTTTTAACGACTTGCAATCTACGACACGATTCCTATACGGTTTTCTATAATACCAGTCCTATACCGTTTTGGTTATTGACTGATTGGCATAATATTGAAAAGTTGAGAATGTATAATCTTCTTAAAAACATTAATGTACATAATGAATTTGTAATTAATAATTTGATCGTAAACAAGACAAAACAAATATTAACTTATCTATCTGGTTATATCATTAAATAATCAAGTTAGTTAATTGACTTAGCTTTAACCACAAAAAAAAACTAATGACATTAAAATGTTGCGTAAAGAGATAAATAAAATATGATCTGTTCAAGAGTAATACTAATATACATTTTTCCATCCAAAAAAAAAGAGTTTAAAATTTGTTAGCAAAATATTGTCTAAGGAATCTGCATCTTGGTTAAAAAAGGAAGAAGATTCGCGTACAGAAAGGGACACATTGATCAATTTAGATTCGTACTGTCACGGAAAGGGCAACTCATCCATGCTCTGACTTTCGGGGAAAAACATTTACATGTATCTCCAACTTCTATTTTGATTTATAAAAAAAAATATATATAAATATAATTATCAGATATCAATAATCTTCATATTTTATAATTAAAATAAATTTTCCTTACAATTTAGAATACTGTCAAAATACAAATAGATTGAAAAGTATTAATATCAAGTTTCACTTAATTATTCTATATATTAAAGAAGAAGCATTAGGAGGCCATTTTTGTTGATGTGTCAACACCAAAAAAATTTCCAGCTTTTTTAAATAATTAAAATCCTAGAATAATTACTTCCACTATCCTTATAGTCAAACACTCCTACTATTCTACTAGCCAACCATAATTAATCTCATTAAATTTAAATTCGAAAATGTTAATTACAATATTAACTTCAGAATAAGTTTAAATAAATCTG